CCACTTTTCAAATTTTAGTGCTGTCACACTTTGAATTCCTTAGGCATGCAACACTATTCCAAACACATTTTTTTTATAATTTTCTTAGACAGATACAGTAGAGATTTCTTTTTTCTTTTTGCTATTTAAATGCTATTTTTAACAAAGATGTAGAGAATTACATTTGGAATTAATTTATGAAGAAATAATTGTTAATAATTTATTTGAAGAATTATATAACAGAAACTAATGACCCCAAATTACCCCTTTTTGGAAAGTACAGTCAAAGGTATTCAGTGAGAGGCATTGTGAGCTTTTCTGAAGTTACTTTTTGTCACAATATTTAGGAAAATGAAGAAATTAAATATTTTTTTCACAAAGTTGTCATTTTAAGAAGTTATTTTCCAGTACATACTTACATGAACACAAAGAGGGCACAAATGCCTGGCACATTACCTTAAAAAATTTTTTATTGAGAAATAAGAGACAAAGGTTATACTCACAAATCAAGTTTGGCATGTAATTGCATAAGCACACAATGTGGACCACTCTCCACCTTCAGCTGGAGACAAGATGGTGTTAGCTGCTGACAAGTTTTGGGGACCCAGTCCCCTTACTCAGAGCAAAGGCTGAAGTCCCCCAGAACTCAAACTCCTTAAATAACATGTGTGGATCCCACAGCCCACCCACCATCAGGGGGCGAGGAGAGAGGGGAGAGAGTTCTGGTTATGCAGCATACTCATTTGTTCTTCCATGACAGCCAGACTCTGACAATATAGATTTGTTCTCTCTAGTGCGAGTATTCTTCTTGCTGTCATCAATGGAGCCAATGTCACCACTAGAATATATTCCCTCTATTTGAAAGCTGGGATGTCTGGTATGACATGCTTCCGGTCCCAAACTTCCGGTTCCAGCAGGTGCGTTCCGGCTGGAGAGTTGTTTGCGCTCGAGCATTAGGAAGCATGTCTAGCATGCGTTCAACAAGCAGGAAGCATGCAGTTCATGCGGACCACAATAACTGTCAGCAGCGGCCATTGTCTTCTATTACAACTATTTCATGCAAATGCTCATCTCTGGGGCAGTGGCTTTCATAATCTACTCTAGTGGGTGCCCCTAAAGATCGGCACTGACTGGTTCCATACATTGATGGTGAGCAATTATTGGCCTTTAACGGAGGGGTAGATGAGTAACTTAACATATTAGCCACTTTGATGATGTCAATAAGGGTGCTAATGTACTATTAAGTAGTTCATGTTACCCACATTAATACATACTTGTGTTTTTTACTAATAATATGCACTTCATATTTATTTTATTTTATCTGTGATACATATTTCCATTTTATTTGCAGTGGTTAAGTTAGTTGATCATGTAACGATAACATGTTTGCATGTTTTTACTATCTGTATGCATAGAGTATGAACACAAGGCTGTGTCCCCTTTAAAAGAACTTCCTCCCCCCTCTCCCCGCCCCTGGTGGTAGGTGGGTTGTGGGATCCACAAGTTATTTAAAAAGTTTGAGTTCTGGGGGACGGCAGCCTTTGTTTTAAAGAAGGGGACAGGGTCCCCGAAACACGTCAGATGGCTAACACCATCTTGTCTCCAGCTGGAGGTGGAGAGCAGTCCACATTGTGTGTTTATGCAATTACATGCCAATAGCTCACTTGGTTTGCGAGTATAACTGTTTGTCTTTTATTTCACAATAAATTGTTTTTAAGGTAATGCGCCAGGCATTTGCGCCCTCTTTGTTTTCATGTTTTTGCATAGTTACATAGTTAGTCTGGCTGAAAAAAGACAAAAGTCCAACCAGTTCAACCATTAAAAAAAAAAAAAGTTATAATCCTATACCCACAGTTGATCCAGAGGAAGGCAAAAAACCCCCCCAGAAAAGCATGATCCAATTTGCTCCTGCTGGGAAACAAATTTCTTCCTGATCCCCTGAAATTCCTTCCTGATCCCCTGCATAGTGCATAATGTTGGATTTCCCTGGTCTAAGGAGGGCTGCACCGCCATTTCTTTCCAGTCCTGGTTATGAAAATTCCACGGGATCACACCTAGAGTGACAGTGTCCATTTCTGAGCACCAAGTGTCAAGTTTAACAGTTTCTTCACATACACACAATTGCACCCAAAACACATTCTGCTATTGGTATGGGGATACTGCATGTGTGAGACTTTTTTCACAGCTTAGGTGTATATAGGGGCCCAAAATCCAGTGAGCACCTTTGGGCTTTCAAGGATCATAAATTACAGTATGTGTCTAATTTCCAGGAGGCTTAAGAAATGAAGAAAAAAGAGCTCATGTGGTTCCAGGAGTGTAGATGTACTCAGGGGATGGCCTGGACTGGTGTCTCACAGAAACATAGTCAGTAAGACATGCAGATGGATCAGTTCAGGCAGCAGGCAAAGACATGGTTAGCAAACAGGCAAAGGATTGGTCCAGGCAGAAGGTAGAAACATGGTCAATAAACAAGCCATGGTTAGTACAGGTGGCAGGCAAAGGCAACACTGCACTAGTGTGCTGTTGATCAGAAACACCATTGTTGGCTGCACTGGTCTGGTGACAGTGGGACTTTTGTAGTGGCGATCAGGAACAGTGTTGCTGGCTTACATTGGTCTGGGGACACTCGGGACTAGTGTGGCAGCAATCAGGAACACTGCACCTGACTTACAGTGGTGTGATGACACTGGCAACATTGCAGGCTTACACTGGTGCAAGCTTTTCAGCCTGCATTTTATGTGTGGGCAGAAAATATGGGCTGCAGTGTGCATACTGCAGTGGAGTATAACATGATAGAGTGATATACTCCATTATACATGCTCCATTATAAACCTTCTCCGAAGTTAAATGTGTACCTAATGATGAAATGTTTTTGTTTGGCAATGTATGGAAGTAATAAACCCCCATGTATGTTTTAATTGCTATCTGTATCCATGCTGGGGAGATTTACTCTGTATTTTGGTTTTGGTGATTATTATTATCATCAGGACACAAAATAATGGGAAATCCAAAATGGTAACATTGTGATCAGAACAAAAATAGAAGTAAAATCTTCCAATTGGGAGACAGCTGACTAAAAAGAGATCTCTCCCCAAATTGGAGTGATTTTCTCTCTCTTCCCATTTTTTATCTGGACATGGAGTGAAGGAAAATGTATCTTTTTTTAACACAGACAAAAAAAAAAACTGCTAGAGATTGTAAACATTTCCCATTCTATCCAAAATACAAAAAATAATTACACTAGATATGTATACTTTAAGTGTAGATTTCATTAGTTCTGCACTAGACCTCCAGGTTAGGGTTTTAAGTAAAAATGCATTAGTAAGAGCCATAACCCAATTCACCAATAGACTCTTGTGGGCCTCCTCACAAGGCAGCAGACTAAGAAAGTTACCACAAAAATGCAACATTTACACTATTTTTTAGATAAATCCTTGCTTTTAATTTTTTTACTTTTATAGGTAAATACAGCAACATAACTGAGGGCAGAGTAGGCTGTTTGCTAAGAGAGGGGTTACAGGTGCCTCTGTAGTTCATGTAACAATTAACTTTAGTAGGCATATTAAGTATATTAGTCTCATTAGGTATATTGGTCTAATTTCTGTGTTTTTTTTAACCTTTTTGTTTTCCTGTGATCGTGCCAGAATACTAAACACATGCAGTCTTCTGACTCAGGGCTGATGTGTTCACTAAACATCTTTTTTTGTGAAAATTCCATTAGGCTTAATTGCTAAATCTTTACACAAGGATACATATCTTTATTTTTGCCCCTGTAACTACAAGTTTCAAATAATTGAGCTCAACTAAAATAACAGTCACTTTCTTGAAAATAAAGGCTCCCAGGGTGCTAGCTTTATGTATTGGGCCTTTTTTTTCTTGCTGAGATTGTTAGCCTTGATTTTCCCATGAATTCCATTTTCAACACTTATAAACTACACAGTTCACCACCAATTGGAATATCTATTTTACTCGGTAACTGCAGATGATGTAATCAAAAGCTTTATTTAAGCTTTATTTACTAGTGAACACAATTTTCTATTTGATCTATAGATTGCCATAGGGCATGCAGTCTCCTCATCCATCATATTTAATGAAGTTATCAACATCCCTTATTTGCCCAAAATGTAGTAAGCCTGATGTTTCTTTATTTCATGTAATGTGGGAATACCTATTAAAGCCTTTTGTAGACCGGTACATTAGTATGTTATTACATTCCTTTTGCATTATATTATCTAAAAAATGGTAAATTTTCAGCTGAATAAATCTAAATAGAATGGGGACAATGAGAAGAAGCAGACAACTAAAATAGAGATTGGACCTACTGTGTTTATTTAGGAAAGTGCCTCTACTATTATTGTGACATACAGTACTAAAAGGAAGTTGGAAGAACATTACATGGATGCAACATCCTCTTTATCAGCAACAATGTTATAGGCTGCTAAATGTGACCAGATCCACACCAGATTCGCAGTTACAATGGTATCTTGCAGAAGTGAACATACCCACCACCGCATACTATGCTGTTATCTTTGTTATCTAATACAAATGCTGTACCATTTTTTAGATAAATAAAGAAAGAAGACTCAAGAACTTAAGAAACTTAAGAAACCGGGGTATGCTTAAATCACTTTTAAATCACCCACAAAACAAAAAGATTAAAGCCTTGTTTAGGGTCCTTTCACACCATAATGCATGTCATAATGCACTGAAAAATGCATATGAAGCAATGTTCATTTGAATGGATTTTTATGCACATTGTTTTGCATTTATATGCATTAATGTGCATTGTGGTGTGAATGAAGCATATAGAAAACCATTGTTTTCCATGTGCTCTTGAAGTGATCAACATGTATAATGTTCAGAAAAATGTAGGTCTCTGACTATTGACTGTTACAGGGGCAGACTGACAACTCATGGGGTCCCCGGGCAATAGGGGATCATGGGGCCCCTGTGTCCTTGCCCAAATTCAAAAAAGCCTATGAAAAAGGTACCAGGGGCATCTCATGGGGCCACCTACTGACCCTGGGCCCTCGGGCAGTGCCCGAGTTTCCAAACTGTCAGTCCACCCCTGGACTGTTATTACTTCCAATAGCACACAACCCTCATATATAATTTGGTGCCATATTGGTGTTAAAGGATTCAGCAGTATCATCTTTATCCCCAATGAAACACTTTGATGGAGGCTGCCATAATGAAAGTAATTACAAAAGTATTTTTTTATATAAAAGTTCTTGTTCAGGCATTTTTGTTGTTGGGAGACAATGTTCTTTCTCTGTTTCCCAATTCTGGCCTTTTATTGTCACCCTGCTACACAGACGGAAGGTTTCAACACACATACATTGGTATGGTCCACTGTTGTCACCCTCAGGAAAACTGAGAAATGCCATGCAGCCATCAATCCAGTGCTTGCATGTAGACAGGAGGTTGAAAAAAAGTGATTTATGGTGTACAGTGCTTTAACAAACTAAATGTTATAGGGTTATAGAGTTTAAAATAGTAGGTGAGTGATTGAGCTACAAAACACTGTAAACTTATTGAGTTTGTGATTCCATAAACTAGGATTTCTTAGTGAGAAATAGTTTTAAAGGAGAAAAAAAAAGGAATCATTGCCAATAAATCACCATTTTAACGTACCCTTGTTCAGACTATTTGGATAACATTTAGCATAGTCCACGTTAATTGATTTCAGAATTTATTTTAAGCTTTTATTATATTTAATGTTTAATTGTATTACTTGGTGTATCTCTTGACAATCGGTTTATATTTCTGTCCTTCAGTTCATGAAATGACCTTTGTTTTTATTGATTTGTGTATATGTGACTCTTCAACACTCAACACACATAGAAAATACCTTTATTCCTCTCTGCCCTTTACCACACATTCAAATCAAAATAAACAAACCAAGCTACAAAATTATGCTTGAGGAATAAATACTTTCATATTTGAAGCATATTGTAACCACCCCCTCAAAAAAAAAAATACTGCAGTCCTTAGGTGATGTTTGCGTACATCTTTTTGGGCCTTTTCTCCTTTATTTTTTACCTGGTTGCCCTGTAAATAATACACTTCCTGTCCCTGGGTGACTACTTCTGCATTGTACCTATAAAGGGAGCCATGATTACCACCCATAATGGACTGGGTGTCAATGCTCTGTCATCATCTCTATTACAGGTGGGGTGATGGGATTAGTAGTTTAGAAGAAAAATTACATTCTTTGTGTTTTCAATTTAGCCCACAGGAAGTGACAATAACACTAAATTTCTGGCCTTAAAAAAATGAAAATATAAAGCCCTACAAAATTAAATAAATATAAATATGTGGTACAAACCAATACTATTGCATTACTCATACAAACAGTAATAACATTGCACATAACATATATACATTTAAAAATCTTTGAAAGTGCATGAAAACTTTTTTTTTTTTAAGCAGTCTTCACGTTTCAGAGGGGAAAGCAGAGTCTCCCTGCACTTTACATATGCTTACACACAACCCTCATGCACAACCTTTTGGCCAGCATTCACCCCAATGAGCAACTTCCATGTGGTATGGAATGGTGTCTGAACCATTGCTCTCAGGACCAACTGCGCTCAGAGAGGTTTTCATTGCTGCAGTGTCACTGAACCTCCCCGAGACGGATCATCACCTCAGTGTCACTGAACTTTCCCAACTGCTCTTCAAATGGTTTTTTAGAGGGCTGGTTTGCTTTTTTATAAAGTTTCCTACTTTCTGGACTTGCTGAAAATGTTCTTAGCATGAATAATGAAAATAAATGCAGCAACCACATCTAAGCGCTGGTAAGATGCAATATATTACATTTTTGTTCTTGGGTTTAGATATCCTAAAATCCCCATGCCTTCTAGCCATAGAATGAACCAAGGGATCATATGAGTTTTCACTTTCTGTACAAGGTTAAGCTATTCATTAACCCTTCAGAAACAGCCGTAGTGTTTTTGTTGAATGGGATGAAGTACTAAGTATTATGCAAAATTCAGTGGCAATTGCAAAGGTTTTCTTGAATCACCTTTTTTTGTTAAGACCAATGTTTTGCAAGCAGTCATATACTCTATATGAAGTGACTGAGGATCCCACTGGAGCTTTACAAGCGTATGTTTATGGATCTGTGTGTGTTCATTTTTTTAATTACTTTACATTGTGTGCAATATAGGGCAAAATGCAGGTAGTGATGTTAACACCCAAAAGTAAAACCCTACCACCTATACATAGAAAAGGAGAGAGGATTCAGGAACATCCCACCAATTTAGGTAAGTAGAAATGTCTGTCAAGTATAGTTTTTCTTATTTTTGATTGCACAGATTACTCAAAGGGATGGGCAACAAAGTAGAAGAACAGGGAGTTCTAGATATGATTTAAGTGATATATATATATATATACATTTTTTAATTTTTTTTAATTAAACATCTTTTTACATTTTTAAGGCATATTTTTTGTGTCCCAAAAGCAGTGTAAAGTACAATATATACTTATTAAATTAGTCAATAACGAACGAACACCTTTAGCACCTACACAAAGAATCCTCCAATAATAACTGTGGTAACTTGAACCGAAATATTAAGTTCTTTTTATGGAATTTGCCTTTATGCATCTGCAGTAATATAATTTAAAACTGGATATAGTACAGTAAACAGTTTCCCCATATTCTAATTAGCAAACCTGACTGTACTCCCAGAGTATAGATAATACAGTAAATATCAAACTACCAGCTAGAATTCCCAATTAAGAAGTTGCATATTGATTGCTAACTGCAAAAAAACTTGTAGGTGGTTTGATGATTGTGAGAATGCATTTATGGGATCAGAGTCTTCTTATCAGTCTGTTTTTCTTAACGTAAAAGAAACTTTAACCTTTTTGCTGCTTAGTGCTGATGATTTCCTTTGTTTCTCAATTTGTCCATTTTTATATGCATTATACATCCTTGAAAAAATCAAAACAATATACTGTATTTGACAAAGATACACTAGAACACACATACTCTTTAAAATTGATATATTGGAAAAGGATTGAAATCTCTGTCTGTTTTTACTGATGTCAGTATTTCTACTAGGGTGGCTCACTATGAGCTCTGCTGACCATTGCCTCCTATACAGAAAGTAATGGGAAATCTAACATTTTGGGGTAGGTTTACTAAAATTGGAGAGTGCAAGATCTGGTGCAACTGTGCATGGTAGCCAATCGGCTTCTAACATCAGCCTGTTCAATTAAGCTTTGACAATACAACCTGGAAGCTGATTGGTTTCTATGCAGCACTGTACCAGGTTTTGCAGTTTTAGTAAATTAACCCCTATATATTAATATAGAACAAATGTGTATAAATTTAAAAATGTGCAATTTTTCAAAACAGATAAAAATCAAAGTATGTAAATCTGTAAATAAGTGACTAACACTAGGAAGTTGTATAATTTTATCTGTTAAGAGTGATAATAAAATTATTGCTAAAACTCCAACCATTTTCATCCTGGAGCTTTTTCCCTTCTAGTTTCCCTCTCACGTCCCAGTGATATTTTTTTCTTTTTGGAGATTTCCTGGTTCTGTACAAGATTCCTTTTAGCTTCTATGGGCTACCCTAGCACACATTCAGAAGAATTCATCAAAAATAAAAGAAGCAGCCAGAATTTAGAGTAGATGTGCATGGCAACTTTCAATTTCAAAGCTTAACTGAACAAGCTGATAATAGAAGCTGATTACAAACCCCCTTCAAATAAAATTCTGGTTCTAGCTCTACTACACTAGCTTATCAAAAGTATACAGAAACGCATGTCATAGTCCAAAGTTCCTATATAAATATAAAAAAAAAAATGTATTATGAAAGAAAAAAAAAGTAGCTAAAATTTTATCACCATGTAGCTTAAGTACAAAGCATAAATCTAGACCTAGGCATAGCAGCCATTTTGTTGTGCCCTTTGCTAGATCACAGTGGCAGGTACCCACAGAATTCCATTCTTGCCCTCCACCAGCATGTTGAATGCCATGTGACAGCAGGAAATAGAGTAACATTAGGAGGAGAGTTTAGGATGCTGCTGGCTAGGTGAAGATGTGTTGGAGTGTTATCAGTGTGGAAGAGGAGAAAATTGGATCAAAAGCTTCAAGGGGTATGTTTCACTCTTCCTTGAAACAAAAGGAAAAACTCTAGGAGATCGACTACCACCATCTTAGAGGGAACACAAAATGCTCCACATAGAGGAGTTGGTACAAAAGAAACATTTTATTTTCCTTTTAAGGCTATCCGTGCAAGCAGGGATGGCAATATAAACTGGACAAACCTTTATCAAAGAGAATACCATGGCAATATACCATCTTCTGCAGCCAGAAAGCAGGAGCTTAGTTTTGGAGGCAATATCATCCTCTCCTTTCCAGATTTTTCACCTGAAATCCAGCACAGAAAAAGATCCTTTGTGGATGTCCACAAATGCCCAAAAGCTAAAGGGCTGAAATATTGTATACTGTAAGCTAGAAAACTATGGGTGCAGAGCAAAAATACAGGTGAATTGTTTGACAACCCTTCATCAGCCAGTAGCAGGTTGGACAGATTCTGGTAAGCTCATGACATTGCAGGCAGACACTGCTACTAAAGGCTCATAAGGGAGTCTTGGTCTCAGTGTCTTAGTGCCACTGTCTTGCAGTGCCAACTGAACTACAGACAGTCATATCAGGCTTCCCTGTGCAATGTAAAGCTTTGTATAGTTGAAAGCTCAGCAACCCCAACCTCACATTTGGTTTCCTTCTTTTCCTCTGTCATATTTTACCAGTTTATCATGTAATTTTGGGGAAGTTTCTACTGTAAGATCATACTGCTCTGTATAGTATAGTCTACCATGCTGTAATATTGTACCTTTTCACTATTTAGGGAAGCCTCATCTATAATATTCTTCTCTTCCTTTTGTTGGATGGGTGCTGCAGAGCTTAGGAGCTTAGTTACTTACAAATTGTATTATTGCTTTACTGTTTTGCTGGTGTGCTCACTCAACTCTGCATAGGATGTAACTACAGTGGTGCTTGCATCCATTTTTTCTTTCATATACCAGTACATTGTGCCTCAGCAAAAATTCTATTTCTGTTCTGTACATTCCTGTTGGGAAAATGGATATTGAAGTTGTATCTTGAAACATCAGAAGTATCAATTTCAGAGTGTTGGGTGGAATAGCAATGGAACTAAAAGTGCAACAGGCATTTTATTGCACATATTCTGTCTA